TTATTAGTTTTTATGGGAAAATAAGTGTCCCTATGTCGAGTTGTCCACGTGTCAAGGTGTCCACATGTGGAGGGGGAGGGTCTCACTGTATTTCAAAGATCATTCTCCAACATTTTCTCCATTTACTGAAAATTTGAGCGAATTAAATCTTCAATGGAATATGGAAAGGAAATATTTGAGTAGCTGCTTAATTTCTGCTGAAAATGTTTCCTTCCTGGGATAAACGCACTTTCGACACCGAAAACTTAGTTTTTGTGTAGAAGGTTACATTTTAAAATAACCATACCAAGGCAGTTCTTTCAAAAATTATCCTTCAACAGGCTAAAATGATTTTTACAATTTTACTTCTCAAATGCGTTGCTTCTTCAGGTGATGCACTTCATATAGCGATTTGAATATTTCTCCCAATTCAATGAAAATTCAATCGCTAAAAATGTGCGTAAATACAGGTGACGTTTATTTCCAATATATAAGGCATAGGCTGTGGAAATCAGAATGCATCTCATATCAATATTTTGGTTGCTGCTCACCTCATATTCCGCAGCGTCTTAGATGAACATTTGAAGATGTGCATGTTTTATTTTGTCGATTATAATCTTTTGCATAAAAATTCAAGGAATGAATTCGTTGCTATACTATTCCTACTTCACGATAACATTATATAGAATCGGGTGATGTTTCAGAATACCAGGCTGATAACTGAAGCAGGAGCAGAATCATCATTCTCACCTGTTTGTGAAGAAATGGATTACAATACGTCACTGCACCATATAATTGAGCTTCACATTTGCAGAAAAATGCATTATACGGCACAAAATCGTGGTTTTTTGTGTGTTCGAGTGAATATGATCCCGCTAATGGAATGCATTAAGAACGAAGAGATTTCCTCTTCCACCATCGAAGAACATTTTATTTTCCAGGCGTATGCAGTGGATATCAAAAATTATTCTCCTGGCCACGTTGATCAGTCTTCGTCCCTTCATCTTCATCGTGAGTCTCAACTCTTAAACCAGGACCACAAGCGGGGCTTCATTGGATGAAAGAACGTTCAAGTGACACAAAACAAAAGAAACGTCAGTATTAAATCTTGGCTTCAATTTTATTATATGAGGTGTCGCTCCTGGTCGTAGCCAGCTGTGTCGCTATCAAACTTCGTGTTCAAACGATTAAGGTCCACAGCAAGGAGAATGTGATTTATATACGAAGTATGCTGAAGCATATAACTTGTTGTATGTGATTAAGCAGAATCTTTATTGGTTTAAATTTGTGTAGCGAAGCCATTTACGTAAATAGTTCGTCCGGGGATTCAACCTGATTTACGGACACTGTTTTCTTCACCCTTTGTTAGGCCATAATTCTTGAGCCTGTTTCTATTTTTGCACAATTGCTGTAATGTGAACAAATCGAAGTTTAGTTCCTTCTCTCACGCAATTCTGCTTTGTTGTACTGTATTTTAGCGTAGAAGCTGGGAAGCCAGGAAGTGCTATAGAAGGGCTCCGCAGAGCATTAAAAAAAAAAAGAATCTCTGATGCAGCTGCGGTATATTCAGGCTGCTGGTATTAATATCTTTTGTGATTATCCACGGATGTGCGTACTCACCGCCAACTATACGAGTATCGTCGAAGCATAAAACCATTTGCATTCGATTCATGGTCGGCTTTGCTTCACAGCATGTCGTCGAGCGCTGAAATTCCGGTTTTTTAATGTAGACTATGAACGACGTAGAATCGTCTCCGGACTTCAAAAATGAACTTGTGCGGCAGATCCCTTGATATGTACCGAAAGTTAATAAGCATTTAGGAGTATTATTGCCCTTTCCTAAAGTCAGAATCATATTTTTCATGTGCAGTGTGGGCATCACGTAAATCCTGAATTTAATTCTTCAAAAAATAAAATTCTGGAGTGACGTCGGTGCTCCTGTATGTCAAAGCTGAGACTTTTGCAATCTTGAATCTTGCATACCTCAGTATGGATAAGAATAATTTCACTCAGCAGTCAGCACATGAGAACAACCACCATAGTGCAACATTTCAAGTGTTCCCTGAATTGAAAAATTCAAGTGACCCGTGCAAAATGCTGACGCTATGCAGTAGAATTCAATCCTTTTATTTTTTTTAAACATACAATTTTTTTCTGGATGAAAAAACTAATTCCACTCTTAGGATGGACAGATTAAATGTGCCTGGTAAATCTGAAGCGGCAAGACGACGAAACATTAATCAACAGCTTGCTAAATTCACACTGATTGATTTCGATGAAATGACTTCTTCATTTTTAAAGAAGGGATTTCAAGCCAGAAATCTTGTCGTAAACGTCAGGCTCGTATATGGAGTAACATTACTCGACTGCTGGCATTGCACCAAAATTCGGCAATTTCCTGAAGGCTAGGTTAATCCCGAAGGGTTGAACAAATCCGTGCAATGTTTTATAATGTATGACGGCTTGTGATGCAATTATGCTTTGAAGTATAAGATGATATTTTTACCATTCTTACAACCCACAGGAGGTATAGAAATTATATTTTTAAAAATTAACAAAGCGACAAGTTCACCTTTTTGGAGGTGGCCAGGAGATGACCTGGTCACTATTAGAAAGAGGTTGGAGCATTCAATTGTCATTAATTGTCATTAATCCACGAAGTTGACTGCAGAACAGGAACAGGAATATAATCAATAAATTCGATCATTATGACGCAGCAAATCGCATATGAAAATTTTGCCCGCAGTGAAGGATTTCTTGAGAGATGAAAGCGTTCAAGTAGGACTGATTTGAACTGGCGGGAACTTATTCCAAATCTTGACGAGGAGCTTTACTGCAGTCGGGATCGGATATGGAACTATACTTCCGGGATGTAAAACGCCCTTTCGTAAATGACTATATGAGCATTGAAATTGAGGTGCGGATGGCTGTGTTCCACTTTGCTTTGGTTCCTGGCTCGAGATATCTTTGTGAGCTTTGCCAAGTTTTCAAAGTCCACGAAAAGTTTACAAAACCTGCAACGCCAGGTCAGGTGCATTTTCCCTCACATGACATGTTAACTTGTGGTAATCATAAAGAAGGAATGTGGCGAATTTGCGTATGGCACTTGCAGAATAAGATGATGGGGCCCAATCGTCGAACAAGATTTATTTAAGACAAGATAAGAGCAAATTGAGCTCTAGAATAAAACGAAATTTCTCCATTCCTCACTAATTACCGAGCCTGACTTTTACGACAAGATTTCTGGCTTGAAATCCCTTCTTTAAAAAATGAAGAAGTCATTTCGTCGAAATCAATCAGTGTGAACTTAGCAAGTAGCTGTTGATTAATGTTTCGTCGTCTTGCCGCTTCAGATTTACCAGGTACATTTAAGCTGTTCATCCCAAATTTTGAAATTGGTTGGTTTATCCAGAAACAATTTGTATGTTTACAAAAATTAAAATATAGAATTCGACTGCATAACGTCGGCATTTTGCGCGGGTCACTTGAATTTTTTCAATTCAGGGAACACTTGAAATGTTGCACTAGGCGGTTGTCCTCATTTGCTGAGGGAAATCATTCTTATCCATACTGAGGTATGCAAGATTCAAGATTACAAAAGTTTCAGCTTTGACATCCAGGAACACCGACATCACTCCAGAATAGTTTTTTTTTGTTTGAAGAATTAAATTCAGGATGCACGTGATGCCCACACTGCACATGAAAAATATGTTTCTGACTTTAGAAAAGGGCAATAATACTCCTGAATGCTTATTAACTTTCGGTACCTATCAAGGGATCTGCCGCACAAATTCATTTTTAAAGTGGCTTTCGCCTTGGCATTTTACAATTACTCTCGAAGGACCTCCGCCGGTTTAACAGGACAAATCCCTCTATATAGTCCATGGGATCCCAAAAACGTTCGTGCAATCAACGCCAAGTCAACGGGCAGCTTCAAAAGGGCACCGTAAAAATATTAAAAAAAAGATAGCGAAATCCCTCAGGCGGAACCCAATTTTTTGCTGCCCTCGATTGAAGATTTTACTGCAATTGTGATAAGTTTAGCAAATCTTCGTAACTTCTCCCATGGTTCGCTTAGAAAAATCTCCGCTATTCCCTTCACTTCAAATTTTCTATAGAAATGGTATTCATTCACAGATGAAGCACATTGTGCTTCATATGGAACCTGGCCCGGGCATGCGGTTCAGACGAGGCGTCAGGCGCGGACCCCAGCACAGTGCGCGCGTAGACGTCGTCGGGACCTCAGGTCGTGTCGGTGTTTTTCTCCGAAAAATACAATCAATTGTGCTCCTAGCTTGATGATTGTCTTTGCTATATACAAAACCAGGAATGTACTTGATTGTCAGCCAACCCCTTAGAATTGATCAACTACTGTATTACAAATGAGGTCAGGATAGATAAATCTATGGTTGGGCAGTGCATTTTCCGAAGAAAGATTCGACTTGTCGATGCTCTGAATTTATTCATTGAAAAGCGTATCAGCCGAATATTATTATTCAATTTTCTGAAATTCAAAATTTCTCAAGTTTTGATGGTTTACGATTGTGAGCGCGCGGCTTATTAGCGCATACAAATTCGTTGTTGGTTTATAGGAAACCCAAAAAATTAGAGAAAGCTATTTCCCGCATTAAAAAAAACGGGTTGCTCTTACGCAGGACGAGAAGGAATTGAAAATTTAGCATTGACATAATCTTCGAAAAAATCAGTGAAATTACGTCGGAATTACGCACCGAGGAACCCCCAAAAACGAGTTAAATGTCCACGATAACGAAGCATTGAACAATCCCTTGTTTGGGAGGCATTTTGCGTACAAATTAAAATAAAAAGCACTATAAATGCGCATATTAAATTGTGATTTGAATCCCGGAGGCCGTATTAACAAACCTTCACTCGTCACAACTTTGATCCTGGCTCTCAGTCATCCATAGTGTCGAAAGTTCAAGTGGTTTTGTAATGATGTGACGTGATTTAGTGCGATTCTCTGTTGCGTCACGTGTTTAATTCAAGCCTCTCTCGTCCTCAGATTCGCGACTCTTTTTTTTCTCTTATCCTCATGTAACTGCACTTTTCCTGCCAACCTTACGGGTTCTGGAATCCAAGTTCAGCTTTTCCGAATCTTTCTAGTTTCGAGTCCGAATTTGTATTTTCGAAAAATTGTTACATTGGACCACGGCTTGTGACCGCCGATGGAGTGAAACATGTCTGCTCTAGTCACTGCTCGAGTGCTCGTTGCCGACCTAAAAGTCATTCAGCATTGGTCTAACCATTCCTGCTTCTCGCTGGTAAGTTACACTTTACTTTTACTTCAAAATTTTTCTGCCATAGCTTTACATTTTGTAAAGTTTGAGATTTTCATTTACGTTTTGAATGAAAATAAATAAAGCCCCGGTGGGGTGCGGAGGATTTTCAGCTCGAGCACTTACGCTGAAAATGTCCGTTCCGCTCAATTCGATCTTTTCTGCCCAATAAATCAGCAGTTTGGCTCATTGCCAAAGAAGGCATGACGGAACAATAAAGAAAACACACAAAAAGGACTGGAGAGAGCCAAGAATTTAATGTGCACGAGTATTACTTCTGTAGATGCTGTTTTTGTGTCAAGTACGTGTCCCGTTGACCTTATTTTATTGAAGCCCCCGATAAAATATCAAAGCCGCCATCGCTGGTTAATAATCTCAAATCGAATGTCGATTTATAAAGCAAAAAAAAGTAGTCATCCAAGTAAAGAAATGGAATATATAGGATTTAAAGATGGGTTTGTCGTGAAAAGTTATTCCATGAAACGAAAGAACAATTCGACTGATTTTTGCAAAGAAAATTATTGCACTCATGATAAGTAGAGCTAAACCCTAAAATAAATGAACGCTCCGTTTTTCCAGGCAAACGTAATGGGGCCACTGGAAGAATCATTTGATTTTCCAGCCTCTGAAAATGGTACAAAAATATGAAATTATTATTATTTCATGGGACACGAATTGCTTTGTGAATTTATTGATAATGAAGACCGACGAGTCCGAACACGGAGAAGCATGACACCGACGTATAATTGTAGCTCTATGTAAAGCGGAGAGAACAGAACAATGGACAGATTGTTTTTAATGAAGGAGTTGCGTAGTAATGACTCAAGGCCCTGAGAAATGGATTTTCCTGGTTTACGGCGGAATGAGGACACAAATGAGACGAGGAACTATGGTACGACACGGCCTCCATGCTCAAAATCCAATAATAAAAATGGCTTGTGCCATTAGAACTAAAAAGTGCTCCTACAGCATTCATCGATTCATATTTTATGACTTTTATGCAAGAAATTGCTCCCGTCTGTCTGTCGCTCTCGCTCAATTCTCACTTTGTGCCTATTTCTTTTTGTCTCCATACATAATAGTTGTTCCTTCATTCACAAGAAAAGAAATCCTTCATATTGCACCCGCATTAGCGTCTGAACTCGCCGTACAATTAGTGCAAGACGTTTCTGCATTTAAATGCTTGGATACAATTAACTCAAAGTTATACATGCAAATATTCATATATTCAAGTAAATATGATGACCGATGGGAGAGCACTGAAAATCGGCTGAAGAAACCCACATTTTTCCTGTGTAACAAAAATACTTCCCGAATCATATAATGTATCTTCATTCGATTTAAAAAAAATTGGGATTGATTTCTTCGATACGAATCAATGAGCTACTATTGGGAAAGCTTGAATCGCACCATTTATGAAATTTAGTACTGTACAAGGTTTACCTTATATAAGCCGGATTTTTCCGTTGACCCGGTTCGTTGAGTTTTCGCTCACAGAATATGTAGCTTTACCATTTTGATAATTGGGTTTACGTGTGGTGAGGACATTGAAGATGTGGTCAATGTAAAGGTCATTGCTATTTGAAGAGACTTGGGAAAATTGCACCTCCATGAGGAGCAATTGCTCGCCAGGTCATATTATCTGCTCCGACACGTTTCCATTCTTAAACCTGTAGCAGAATGTGATCCTTTGAATAATATCGGACTCATTTTTTGATAGCTATGCATCTGACAATGCGTCAATTTTGATAGCAACAAATCACGAGTATACCAGGATATTTTTAATGCATAAAGAAGACCTCATCAACTTGAAAACCACGGGCACGTGGATGAGGCGAGTAACTCGACCTTTGAAAATAATAGTAGCACAGAATTACCCTAAACTTTATTAAAGTTCAAAATCTCTTAAACCCTGATTATTCTTGTACAATTTTTCAAGTAAGCTAAATAATGCAATTACGGAAAGAACTCATCCGAAAAAAGGCATTAATCATTTTATGAATTTTCATGAAATCGAAGTCCTTTACTGACAACGTTCCAGTAAACGGACAGAAAATTCGGGAAGTCGATGTGATTTAAGCTTCACAATATTTTCCCCACCATAAAAGTCATGTTTTGTCCTGATTAGTCTGGCTGGCTACTGATGTTTATTAGGTCTGAGTGGCTGTCAGTTAATGAATGGGTCAGCAAAAATGCGCCACGTTTTCAAAAACTTAATGAATCCCTGTCCTTGCGCTCTCTACTAAATTGCGCGTGCCCAGGTAGTTTCACAATGAATGCCTGAAATCGTCTGAGACATGCTTCTTATGAATATTTCGCTGAATACTGGAAAGAATCTCCAAACATGTACCCTTGGGGGCGTTTAACTAAGTTAGAATTTCTCGAACCGCCGGAGTCCGGAACACGCACCAGCAGATATCCATCCAAATTACTCCCTGAACTCCGGGCAGCCCGGCAAGTTAGTGAAGTTTAACATCATTCGGGGTTGCGGGATTCCTCGAGGGACTAATGAACCTGGATGCCCATTACCTCCGATGGCTACCAGGCTGCAGACTGCCGGCGTCTGCAAAGGAACGGATGGCCTGAAAAAGTTCCGGTGCTCGACGGAAACTGACGTAGAACAAGGGCATCCGGGAACACCCATCGAAGTGTGAGAGAACTTCTTCCGGAACCCCTGTTCCCGGAGTTGTATTCCTTTCGGCGACTGTGGGACATGAAGTCGAGAAAAGTTCCCCAAAGAATACTCGTGTCATCTGCCTAATTTTCACACCAGCCGGCGAAAACCCGGGGTGCCAACTCGTCTCGTAAGTTGCTTGATGTGTGCAAAAGCCCTGGCATGGATTTCCGTTCCCTTTTACTGCCTGGGGATTGGACCGCCTATATACGAGGATGTTCCACGTTATACTTTCTCGCTGAGAGAGATCCCCTTCTTCTCCGCCGAGAGCGTCATTTCAATTTTGTATTGAATCTTTCAGTGTGTGGGGCAAGTGCGACGAATCAACACAAGTCATAAGTTGAATCAAGTTTATCGAGAAATATATTATCAACATTTAGATATACGTTACCGTTTTTCCTGAATCGGGAGTCAGGTTTTTTGACCTGATTTCATGAGTAGCGGAACGTACTTGGAGTTTTTTAATTTTAAATGTTTGTGAGGCATGAACATTCGTATTCGTTTTCGTGCGCATTTCCAGACTTTCGGACAGGTTGATATCAATTAAGTGGATGGTCAATCATAGTGAGATGAAGACGGAATTGAAGGAACATGGAACAATAATTCATCAACCAGTATACGGTATATACCACAGCTAGTTCAAGTTTGGAAATATCAGGAGAACATTTCCGGAAGAATTTTCCAGTGCAGTACTTCATCTTCTTTTGCGGGGATTAGGTTGGTATCTTCTGCTTCTTTTTCAAGTTATCCCGAGATTCCCGACACCAGCATTCAACCCTATAGGATGGCAGAGGATTGCTCTCTCTGTGCAATGGTGCCTGCATTTTTTACTGTAGGTTAGAAAATATTTGGTGTAACTGAAGGTCACCAGAATCACCACTGAGCTGTTTGGCCGAAGTCCAAAAATCTTCAGATAAGTCAAGCAAGATAAATAGACAATAAATGCCCAGCTTGCGCCCCAAGTAAAGACTTGAAACGTTTCTGCACAAAAAGAAAAAAAGAAAAATATTCTCGGACAGATATTCACAAGTATAATTTTGTAATTGTTTGAAGCTTCTGGGACGCAAATTTTGTTTGAAACTCTGGTTTTGTCTTGGAAGCATTCCAGCAATGGTAATGTAGTATAAGAATTCAATCATCATTTGCTTTAAGACGCTCAAAGCTTTTCGTTCATTCCAGCTGAATTTTGTTGGCATATCCCAGAGTCCTTTGTTTCAAAACATGCGGAAAGTTTTATTGCACAGGGTGAACCAAGTCTTCACACGAATCTCTAAAATGGAAATGCAAGGTATTACAGTATTTGAAATGGAGCGCAATTTAACGAAACAGATAGCAATCAAAGTGAATGCCGTAATTTTCTTGAAGATTAACTTGGACTCTCATGTAATTTTACGAAATGTTCACGCAGATTATGTTTGCGAGTTCTTTTCCCACTCTTTCAGCTGTAAATTTCATGAATATACTGTAGTTCAGATCCTTCTTTGAACCCTTAGACGTAATTGTGAAGGAGTTATTTAAATTTGTATTCCTTTATTTCTCATTTTTTCAGTACCATACACGTTCAAATTTAGCATGGTTCTATACATAATTTAATACTGCATAATATAAGATGAACCCTCTATTTTTTGCGAGTCGACACAAAAAATGGATATTCTGTGCCCGTCGACACTGACGGCGTTCTCCTTGAAAGTTATGTGAAATCTTCTGAGTAAAGTTGAGACCAACTTTTGAATAATGAGTTCGAGAACATGGTCTGAATATTTTAAAAATTCTTTTGCGGATCATTTCTGCTACGTTTCTACCTTCCACAGAGATTGAGATTGATTCGAGTAACACAAAACGGCCATATATTTCTAAGAGAATCATTCATTTTCTTTTTAAATAAGCGATTGATTGCGCTTATTATTGTTTGGGGAAATCAGTTGTGAAACTGATTATGTGATATCGTCATATTATTTCATGCTTTAAAATCAATGAGAAAACCTCAAAGTTTTCCACTTTTCAAATGCTATCTAATTCCCCATGTCAGTCGACTGAACTTTGCGCTGTACTCTCGGATTATATACAAGGCGAACTTTTTATTTATTTTTTCGTGTATTTCCCACAGAATCGTGAAAGATCGATACAAATACAAATGAATAATGAATCAAATACAGTATGACGATACAAATTCTGGAATTTAAAAAATTCTCAAGAATTCCTAATCAATGTATTTTTGCAAAGAAGGAAACCCATTCAAATGTGAAAATATTAATTAAAGTATTTCGAGGCATTTTATGAGAGGAATGAAAACGTTGAAAAGAATCTGCTGGAGAACATTTTGGCCTATTCTGTTGACACATATTTCCAGTGGGATCATCCGAAATAATCACCCGTTCGTGAGAGCCTGGAAAGTTCTCATGTCAAGATGTGCATCGATATCTGAGATTGGAAACAGAGTACCATTTCAACACATTTGTTCAATCTTGAAGACTGGCACTGAAACAGTCTAAAAATATAGGGATTACAGTATTCTTAATTTTTAAATTCTGACACTCGGGCACAAAAAAAAATGCAAAAAATAGCATCCGAAAGTTGCTTCAATTGCAGATCAAAAAATTTTCATGTCCTGAGTTTATTACTGAAAATTTGGAAATAAAACATTTTGGCTCATTTGAGAGAAATAGATGCAACAATTTCCTCGCTGCTTAATTGAATATTTTATTCACGCATCTCATGATTAAAATTCAATTGATTTCACATGACAAGATGAACCATCATCGTACTGGAGGATTCCTCAAGAAGACAAAAAGCTGAGGCTGGAGTAAATGACGATCGATTTTCCTCCGGAATAAATTTAGACGCCGTAAATGAGGATCCTGAATTGAGAACTTCATGTATCTCTCTAACATGGAAAATACTCCCAAAATAAATAGGATTATGTCTAATTTGGCGAACAGCAGTTCCTATGGAACGTGAATAAGTGATATTAATAATACAGGGCAAAAAGCATGCACAGTACATGTACCATCATTTTGAGCACATGAGCTGGAATGCTTCCAGAAGATAACTGTCCTATGTCACTCCAACGAGACTATAAGTCATTTTCCTGGCGAAAGCATGCCCAAACATCTTATGACGTAACTACACAGATGATAACGACGGGAAAGAGTTGAAAATTAATGACATCGCACACGAATAATGCTGCCAAAAATTCCGTTTTAGCTTTGTTTTATTTTGTGAGTAGCGATTCCTTCAACGAAAAAATCCTCGAATCTTTCCATGAAACGCTTTCGGAATCCTTATATCGCATTGACGTTATATGTAAACTGAAAATTATCTGAGATTCTCGGGGAAAATGCGTTTTCAGCTTTGTGACTTTACGCAGAACATTTGCTCATGTCCCATATACCCTTGAAATTCGTTTCCTAAGCTCTTAACTAGCTTCCTTCGTCAAGTGTCCCATTGGAACGCCGATTTTGTCGCCCTCAGCTTTGCCCTCTCATAATTTCAGTATTGGAGGGGTTCTTTCGAGTGCCGTCCGAGTTCGTTGCCCATCCCCGAGGGCTGCCACTCGCACGTGTCCGGAATCCGTATCTTAACCCCCTAGGCCTGGATTACCGTTCCTTCGAGGGAGCCTTCCTGTTCCTCGGCGATCTTCGTGCCAACGGGTTCTTGGCAAACCTATTATTTGAGCTGTAAATAAAATGTTTTCTTTCGAACTCACGTGCAGCGCGAAATGCTGGAAACTGAAAAGCCAAATCCGCCTTCAGGGAATGTTTCGGAAGTGCGGACACAAGACGCTCAGTCCGTCACACTGGAAGTCAACTCCGCGTAGTGAAAAATGGTTTCGTTCCCTTTTTTGTTGCCGCGAAGTTTGCATCTCCCGACCTCATTTTCATCCTCCGGAGCGAAAAACCGCGAGACGCGTGTTCTGAGGCCATGGAATTGCGCATGAAATAGTGCTGGGATAACATGGCTTCCCTTGTCAACGATCCTTCAGCTTTGCATGCAGGACCAGAATGGCGTGCGCTGGAGAGGAGGGAGGACTGTTTGGAGGAGAACCCCGGGAAACAATTTTGTTTTCATCCTCCTCCCACCCACCAGGAGAATTACAGGCGGGATTTCATCGACAAATCCGTCTTCCGAGGAGAATCATAATTGATGAACCGAATTTGCCGAGTCGTGTGGGAGAGCAGCGCGTTGTTAGGTAGCTGAAAATTCTTCTCGATTCTCTGCTGCTTGTTGACACGGGTGCTGCGAAAGCCTGACATACGATTTCTTAACAATGTCCTCTGAAAATCGAACTGCTCACTATTCCAATACTGTATTGTAGACTTCGTCTACAGAGAAACGTAACACTTCCAGAAATTTAAAGTCATGAAGCCTGGATTTCCGCCTTTCTTCCGAGAACAAACTTTCAACCATCTTCATTATATTACTGTTCTTAACGATTTTTACGAATATGACTAGCGGTTCTTGATCTCTGAATTTTCCAATAAAAGAAAAATATTTTTAAAATTTGTGGAAGCTACCTGTCTCAGAAAATACATACGACCCAAAATTCATTCCGATGTTTTCCTTGTTAAAATTCTGATTTTCCGGAATATTTGATGAGAAATGTTTTCCGAATAATCATTTAGGGGTTAGGGTGGAATTACAAAATATTCAACATATTTAAACAGAAAACGGCAACAAACTGAGTTTCTAATATACATTGATGAAATTCTTGGTAATTTCCAGGTTCATTATAAACTGCATAACATCGTAATCGACTGAATTTTGGATTTGCGGATTTTCGAGCTAATCATACGCCGTATGAAATAATAAAATATTATTTTTATATACGCCGTATATAAAAATAACATAGAGAAGAACATCGTTTTGCAATTGAAAAAAGCTTCATGATATTCCACTAAAATAATTTGCATAATCAAATAAATTGAAATAAAGTGACTGAAATTAAAATTATACCTGAACCTCTGCGAGAATTCCGAAAAT